GACTTCCACAGTTTGGCCACGTACCTGTCCCAAAATACTTCCTCCATTTTCCTAGACATCATTTCTGATTTCCATCTGCTCCTCTTCCTGGTCACAAACGAGGTCATGCCTCTGCGGGTACGTAACGGGGCTGGGAGGGTCCTGTCCCCACACCATCCCCCCCTGGGCAGGGCCTCGTGCCAGCTCTTCCCGACCAAGCTGTTGGGAGAAGCTTTAAAGAGTTTTAAAACCTTTTTTAAACTCTAAACACAAAGTCCCTGAGCTGCTGGGAGCATTGAGGGTGGGGGGGTGGTTGTCCACATCATCCCAGAGCCAACTTGGCTGCGGCTCCCAGAGCTGGAAATGTTTTAAAAATTATCTCAGAATCAGGAATTTGGTGGGAACAGTAAGGAGATCAGAGCCCCCAGAAGTCAAGGCCAGCGAGGTCCTGGCTGTGCAGCTCTGCTGCCCTTGGCTGGGCACCGGGGGCCTGGCAGCTGCCCCGCAGATCCAGCTGCGCCGTGTTTGCTGGAGGCTGCGCGTGCGCGAGGCTGCCGGGATGACCGTGGGCAGCTGGAGATCAGGATGGGAACAGGGATGGGGGCTGGAGTGCTCCAGCGTGGCGGGATTGCACCTCTGGAAGTTGGGAGTGGCCCACAGTGCCAGGACAGTGTCCTGTAGGGGTTGGGAATATCTCCTGGAAGGAGAGGAACGGAGCTTTTGGGGTGTTGGGATCTGTCTCAATGCTGGGGAACAGAGGGATAAACCAGGGCACCCCAAGGATGTCAGGAAAGGGGGAACAACTCAGATTCAGGGCCCTGCCTTGCACTGGAGGGGTCCCCAGTGCTCATTTCCCACCTGTGACTTCCAGGACAGCATCAGTTTGTTGCTGGAAGCCGTGAGGACGAAAAATGAGGAGCTTGCACAGACCTGGAAAAAATCGGAGCAGTGGGCGACCATCGAGCAGCTCTGCAGTAAGAGGGGGGTCCCTGGGACAGGGTGTCCCTCAGGGAGGGGGTCCCTTGTCCCTTGGCAGAGCTGGCTGGGGGTTGTGTGGAGCTGCTCCCAAGCTGCCACAGAGGCTACTGGAGGCTCGTGGGGAGGAAGCTGTTCTTGGTCATGGGATCCTGGAATAGTTTGGGTTGGAAGGGATCTTAAATCTCATCCCACTCCCCTGCCATGTTCCATCAGACCCGGTTTGCTCCAAGCCCCATCCAGCCTGGCCTGGAGCAGGGCTGAGCAGGGGGCCGCAGGGTGGGATGTGCAGCGGGATCCCAGCACTGGGCCGGGCTCTCTCCCGCAGGCACGGTGGGTGTCCCGCTCCCGGGACTGCAGGAATACGGCGCCATGGGGGGCTCGTCGCACGCCGTGGCTGCGGCCATGTGGCCCTGCCAGCACTGCACCTTCATGAACCAGCCGGGCACGGACCACTGCGAGATGTGCAGCCTGCCCCGTTCCTAGCCCCGCTCCTGCCCGGAGCCACCCGGAGCGGCCGGTGTGGCGCCTGTCCCTTCCCTCTCCTCCCTTCAGCTTCCAGCCTGGGCTGCGGAGCCAGGCACGGGTGGCTCCAGCCCCCCGGTTACTCCTCGCTCCCTTTTGGGGGCTCCCAGCCCGGACAACCAACGCTTTCCTCAGCCCGTGCCTGGGCTGGCCCCTGCCCCCACCCTCAGCTGCTGCCAGCCTGCCCTGGGGGAGCTGGCGGGCGTAGGGAGCTGCCCGTGCCCGCTTCCTACCCAAGGGGAGAAGGGAGGCTTTGGCATCTCCCTGCCCACAGCTTTGCTCTCATTCCCTGCCCGCCTGAGTGCCTGGATCCCAACAGCTCCGGCACTGACGGACCCCCGTGGCACGGGCAGGTGGCTGTGACGTTCCCAGAGCAGGACAGGCACCCCTGGACACCGAGCATGGGGTGGGCATGTGCCAGCTCGTGGCCTGGCACTGCTTGGTGAGCTTTGGCATCCCGTGGGGGCTGTGGGAGGGGCGTCCCCTCCGGGTGCCGTGTCCCCCCACTGTGCACGGCTGGGCTCCCAGGGAAAGGTTGCAGGGCAGCCACGTAACTCGGGCACCCACCGCGCCTCCATCGTGCCCTGGGAGCCAGTCTCCAGTTGGTGCCTTCCCACATCCCTCCAGAGTGTGTCCTGGCCAGAGCTGGGGATCGGGGGTCCTGCCCCCCCAGCCTCCCTTCAGCCCCCAGCTGAGGCTGCCCTGGGCACTGCTGGGTAGGGGAGAGGGGCAGGCGGATGCTGCAGGGGCTCAGCCCTCCTCTCACATGGCCTCTGCCCCCCAGGCCCATCCTGGAGCTCCCCAGCCCTGGCTCCGTGGGCTGTGGTTCAGTCCCGGGGGCACCGGTTCCAGCACTGCCCCGTGTCCCCTCATGGGAGGGGTCCAGAGGGCCTGTCCGGCTCCAGGACAGCACTGCCCAGACACCAGTGGGGCAGGGACCCCCAGCCCCCTGCCCCTCGCTGGGGCTTTCCAAAGGCTTCATCCCAAGGCCCGGCTCCGGGCTGCGGTTGCTTTTCCCCTGGGTGTGCTGGGGTTGGGGATGCAGCACTGGGAGCGCCCGGGCCGGGCTGGGCTGACCAGGCGCGGGGGCTGCAAGTAACGTGGAATAAAAGCACCTCAAACCGGAGCCTCCTGCACTCTGTCACCTGTCCCGGGATGCTCCACATTCCTAACGGGAATGGGGGAACGCTGCACCGCAGCTTGCGCCTCCTGCATTCCCTCACTTGGGCTCGGGTGGGGCTGGGATACTCTGTGTTCCCGGTGGAAGCTGGGGGGCCGTGTCCCACCGCTGTCTCCTGCACTGTCACCTCGGGTGAGGCTGGGATGCTCTGTGTTCCCGATGGGAATGGGGGGCTGTGCCCCAGCACATGTG